CTCTCGCGCGCTCAACGGCTTTCGTGCCGATTTTTCAAATTTCCCCTGAGCCTCCCCTAACCCTTTAAGAAAAAACTGCAAATAGGCTCATGTTTCTAAACATTGATGATCCTCATAGGACGGTCAAACGCCACTCCATGCAGCCTGCAACGCCTTCTCTGCTAGCCGAAATGTTGCTCAGCAGCTCTTGATTCATGGCGCCGACCCGGATGCGAGAGACTGTGTAAGCTTTTCACCGCGATGCCGTACTTTCCCGCTGTTCTGCTGCGCCTGCGATTGATACGCGATGGACTGCTGTGGCAGGCGGGTGCACGCCCCTTGGATCTGCTCCTTCGCAAGAGTCGCATCGACCTGGAGGTGCGTTCTTTTGTCATTTCGGTGTTGACTGCAGAGGCAAGCTTGCTCACCGATGAACCTGTTTCACTTTGCAGCCGATTGAAGAACTATTGGGCGCAACCCGTACCCCTGGCTCCTACCAAACTGCAAATTCCATTGGTGCGAGCCTGATTCCCATATCATTGTACGAATTGGCTTGTTCTCATCGGATTTCAACGTGGTGCCAGTTCAAGGCTTGATTCGTGCGGAGCAGGTCAGACGCTGGCGGTGCCCTGCTGCTGTTCTTTATAGCATCGGCTGGCGCGCGGATCCTCACTTGTTCAATATCCAAGATCTACAAACGCTGTGTAACGGCCTGGCCACTCTTACATTCGCCGCTCAAGCTGCACCTACGAATTGAAATGCGTGACGCTTGTGCTGGGCTTGTCGATCGCTACGCAATCAGAGAATAAAGTCAATGGTTAAGGTGGGCGTTGCCAAAGGTCTGAAGCAGAGCAGTCCAACCGCCCCGTCTTCATCCGCCATGCCATCGACTGATGGCAATGGTGTCTCAATATGGCGGTTGCGGTGCTGCGCGAGCTGGTGATGAGGGCGGCGAGCCGCAGGAGAAAGGAGCAAGCGAGCACAATAAAGACAAGAAGAAGCACAAGAAGCACCATCATTGTGAGCGCGCCTTGCACTCGTGCCATGCCCAACTGTCCGGTGAGCGTGATGAGCGCAATCACGTGGCTGCTGCCCCTCGACTCTGAAATCAAAGCCGTTTTTTGCTCGTACCAACTCGGCCAATGCTGCATTCAGACTTTGGGATGTAGCCTGTGGCTTGACAAATGTGCCACAGTCAAACGCGTCGAACCGATAGAGGGGGCCTCAGCAACTATAAACATTGAATTTTGATCCAAACAACATACCTTTCGCTACATGGACCAGGAACTGTCAGGCTCCAGCACGTCTGGAGGCCGTCTTTGGGTTGCGAGGAAGCGCGTAGGTTTGAGGAAGCGTTTTGAGAGAGGTTTGAGAGACGTCCGTCGGAGCGGAGCGAAAGCTTTGGTGGTGTCTTGAGGTCAATTGAACCAGCTGCGGTCGGCAAGCATTCACAGTGACCAGACCAGGTGCACCGTTAGAATAGCTGTAGAGTCGCTCAATCCCGAGGATAGGGAAAGTCACAAGAGAGCAGAGCACACAGGAGAGCAAGGGGAAGACAGAATGGCAGAGGGCTTGACGTACCTGCGGTCGGCAAGCATTCACAGTGACCAGACCAGGTGCACCGTTAGAATAGCTGTAGAGTCGCTCAATCCCGAGGATAGGGAAAGTGCAACTCGTGCCCGACCGCAGGTGTCACAACAAAGGGAAACAACAGTAGCCACAAGCTTATTGCCCCAGGGCAGCTGCCCAGGCATCGTGGGGACCGCGTCACACGCGGTGTTTACTCATGTGACTGCCACGAGGAGGATCAAGCCCAGGGGGTCCAAAAGTAGGTGTCAATGTGTGAGGTCGTCGTAGCTATGGAATACCAATAGGAAGACCCATAGCGACCGATGCTGAGTGTGTGCGAAAGCAGTGGGAGTGTTCAAATGCGTGGAAGCACGGATTTGACGCTAACACCCCCCCTCGCCAGCCGGAGCCCCGATCCGGCGAGGATGGTTCAGAGACAAACGGAAGAAATGGCGAAGGCACGCTGAGAACAAAAAAGGAAACAAGGATGAGAGAAAAAAAATGCAAGTTTCATGATTCATGCAAGCACGCAAAATGGGGTACACTTGACCGTGTGAAACTCAAGTACGAGGGCGGGCAGCTTCGAACTCCTTGATGTAAAAATCGTGAAGGCTGGCTCTAGGTTCCCAGGTTGCCTCCTCCTTTGAGTAACCCATCCACTTGACGAGATACTCGATACGAGGACGGCCCGCACGGCCCTTGGGCCGCACAGTGCGCTTGTCGAGCAAAGTCTCGACTAGATAGTACTCGCCATATGAGTCACGAGAAACTGGAGCAGGACGGAAGTCCTCTGCTGCATTTGCCGGAAGGTGGTAACGGCGTAGATGCTCGATGTTGATAACTGGATGGGCGCGGACGTCGTTCGGCAGCTCAAGTCGATATGCATTCGCGCTCACGCGCTCGAGTACCTTGAATGGCCCAATGCAACGGGCGCCCAATTTCGAGGAGTGTGTGGCACGATCTGTGGGTGACCGCACCGCCTTGATGGAGACCACCACCCAGTCGCCGGGCTTGAACTCCACCATGTTGACCTTCCGGTCATAACGTTCAGCCGCCTCTTCCTGGCCGAGGGCCGTCACATCTGCAACGTACTGCCA